CGCGTCAATTTGCAGTTGCAGTCCCTCAGGGGTGTCCGACATACCGACAAAATCATCCGCAAACAGCATTCCTGAAACCGACGTTTCCGTGTCCCCTACTTTTACTCCCTTCCGGACTGCCTCTACGACTTCCAACAGATCGTTGATGAACACCTGGAACAATGTTGGGGACAGCGCGCAACCTTGTGGGACCCCCTGCTCAATGTCGAAGAATTTAGACAGTTCTCCGTCTAGCATGACCGCGCTTTTCGTACACTCTTGTCATCTTCTTCAGCACTCTCCACATTTTCCCCTTGATCCCGTATTTGGACAGTTGTTTCCACAGCCCATTTCTCCACACGGTGTTGTATGCCTTTTTCACGTCCAGGAAGAAGCAGTACGTCGGCTTTCCCGCCCTCTTTCTACCTTGGATGATTCTCCCTACCATGAATGCGTGGTCTACGCACCCCCTCTTCTTTCGGGAACCTGCCTGGCCCTCACTCATGCTATGTTTCTTCTCCAATACTCCTATCCTATGGTTCAGCAGCTTGCAGAACACTTTTCCTACTGTGTTCAACAGTGTTAACACCGAGGCGGGGGATTTTACGACGTCGTTGCCAAGCGACGACAACCTAACCCCGATGGCAAACACCAGGGGGGCGTCTTGTTTTACAACGTCGTTGCCAAGCGACGAAAACCCAATCCCGACGGCAAACTGCGGGGGGGAATAGGGGAAGGGAGGGGTGAAAGTGAAAAGGGATACGTGTGTTGACGCTTTCGATGCGGCGTGGTTTTGTACACGGTCTCCCCTCGATGTTTTCGTCTGTCGTGTTGACCCGTTGACCCACAGAACAACGAGAAGTTCGTGCCCAATTCGCAGCATTCGTCTCCTTTGGCTCTGAGCATGCTGCGTTTCGTTGGCCGCCTGATGGGATTGAGCCTCCGGACTCGTCTCTGCCTGCCGTTCCAACTGCCCGGGCTAATTTGGAAGCGCATCTTGGTGAGTCCAACTTCGTTAACCATTGAGCGCCGTTGGTTTCGCAGTTGAGTTTTTTGTTTTTTAGCGTCTCACGTTGCAGACTGTGTCCACCAAGATATACGCTTCTACCTGTTGGCGGCTATCTTGTGTCACATCTTGATCGCGATGGTGCTTTCTTTTGACGTGTGGTTATTGCGCGGTACTTGCCTGACTCTAAGGGGTTGCACGTGGATTTCGAGGACTTGTCAATGGTGGACACGATCATCACTCAGTTCATCACCGCGATCAGGACCTGTGAAAACGATGGACTGACTACGGACGACGAGTTTAGAGGTGAGCTTGAAGACGTGTTTGTCACCGTGTGTATGTAGCCTTTGTTGTTCGCTCCACCATTTCAACCGGTTCGTGGCGAAGAAGAACTCAAAGCTACAGCTCCGCCAAGGGACGTGTCGGGTTTGGTAGAGTTTCACGTGCTGGGTGTGTAGCAGCGGTGCAGCTCGTCCTCCTTTCTCAGCGTTCTGTTCGCACTTTAACAGTAGCTAATCGCGAGAAGGCCTGTGGTCAAAACGGGTATCCAAGACATGCTGCAAGGAATGAAAACGAAATGAGTGCGCACGGGCACCGATGCTGAGAACCAAAGCAAACCACTTGGTGACCACTTGGGCGGTTCGTTGCTCACCCTGCAGCAGTATCACCGTACTATCATAGTGTGCAAGGTGGGTAGTCTCTCCCTTGATCTATGTCGTTCGACCCGCGCGTTTGTCAGGGATGTACGGAGATCGCCTGTTTTTCACCTACACGGGCAGTGATGGTGTCGAACGAGAGCTCACTCCTGGGGGAGCGGCTCGACGAGTAACATTCGAGAACCGCTTGACGTTCTGCCGCATGGTCGAGCAAGCCAGGATGCACGAATTTGACGCCCAGGTGACAAAGAACGGATTGATTGCCGAACTGAAAGGCCAAAGATCGCTCCTCATTCCATTTTTTTGCCCTGGTACGAATGAGGAGTGGTAAGATGACTGTGGACGATTTTGTTCCAGCAGCCAACCCACGACTCATGTTTTGCAGAGATATTGATATAGATGTTGATATTGATTGTATTAATGATATTGATGATATTGATGGCATGGCACCACGAGGAGTGACAGCTTGGCTTGGGTGTTGTGGTGCGATGGATGTTTCAGGCATTAGGTGGATGTGCGCCAGCCAGATGTTAGGAGTATTGTCGATGTGGCATTCCGTCGTGTTTCAGTAGCGCCTCTCGTCGCTCAATAGACGGCTTCTGTTGGCGGTGCTAGCTATTAATAGCACTCGTCCGTTCGTTGGGTGCTGACCCACTACCCTCGTTTCCCCGTGCACTCGCTGGCTGCTGTTGGTTGCCCTTGCTTGTTGCGGACAGGCGATGGCTATGGCCGCGGGCCTTTCGGACATCGTACCCATCAAGGTACACACAACCATCTTACTCCAACCTGTCTGTCTGTTTCTCTTTTTGTCGGTGTAGTCACTGCCAACCCACAGTTACAGCGATGAGCAGGTACCATTTGACGGTGCGCAGAGGGGAGAAGGGTGGAGGGGGAGGGGGGGGAGGAGGAGGGACGTCTGTCTCACTTTGGGCTTCTTTTGGAACATGATCTTGACCTGATCGCGGCACCTTGGCCACTGCTATTCTGCAGGTGCTCCGGCTGTTCACAGCTGCGCAGCTAGAGATCGCGGTTGCGGGAGAGCCAGTGTTTGACATACTGTGCTGGAAGGAGCATACCGAGTACAAGGGATACCGACCGGACGACGACACGGTGCAGTTCTTCTGGAAGGTATTTTCGCCATCAAGAAGGGGGTTGGTTTGTGTATCTTGTCTTGAAGTGTTTATCAAGTGTGACCACACACCACTCCCATCTCTTTTCGCCAGAATTGCATGCACCTTACGTGCACCTCAAGCGGCTTTAAAACGAGATTGTAAGCCTCCGACTTTCTCTCTCCGAGACCCCAGTGTACACAAGCACTTTTATTATTTGGGTGCCTGGTGGTGTATGGTACACGCCCTAGGGTGTTCCGTGTTTCGTGTACTGACGTGACGTGCGATGTTTCGTGCTCAGGTCGATCGATGTCTCACAAATTTGGCCTGCCATGGGTATCAATTCGTTTGGCCACGACACGATATTGCAAAATTTGGCTTGGATGAATGCCTTGTTGGCCCTATGCATAGACTACATTGAACTCCATGCTGAGTAAGAAGCGTTTTTTTTTTTTGGGTGGGTGTACCTCAAGGTTGCGATTGTTGGTCGGCATCTTCCAAAGTGTATCCAGGGGACAGGTGTTGACAAAAGATTCTGTTTTCCGTGTTGGACATGAAGGTGATCGAGTCTATGAGCCCCCAAGACCAGAGCGGCTTCGTGCGGTTCGCCTGGGGGCGCTCTCGCCTCCCTCCGAAGCCATTTTGGAGGGTCAACATGAAGCTCCTGAGAAGCAACATGAGCGAGGAGAGCCTCCCGGTGAGAGGATCGAAAGAGCATTGTAATCTAGCAGCAGTCCAACCTGCTTCTCCTTCGGCTGTGATAGCTCGAGTTACTAGGTCGATGTTGATAACTTCATCATAATCGAAGCCTTGGTGAGCAGTGTTTGGTGTTGTAGAGAAGGTCAGTCGTGCCGGCGGGGATTTTGACACCGCGAGCTGCTGTATGTATCGTTTTTTCATCCTTTGCATGACCACGACCCCCGGTGTTCAGGTGAGCCACACATGTTTCTTCTCCGTCGAGCTGCCGCCGTATTCCACCGAGGAGCGCATGAGGAAGGGTCTTCTCACTGCCGTCCACTTCGGCATGGGAGGAATCCTGAACGCGTAGCAAGCTAAATAGACTAAGAGGCCGGTGGGTTGCGGATGATGGATCGTGGATCGTGGACGGGGCGGAACATTGCGTGATCGTGCTGTGTACCACATACCGTTAGGTGTGTGTACCGTTGTCTGATAACTCTTTGTGTACCGTACGGGTTCCAGTAGTTAACAACACATAATACTTCGTTCAGCATCCAACTATTGTAGGGTTCGCGTTATTTGTCTTATTTGAAGTGTATTGCTGAAGATGATGTGCAGAGGAGGGTGGGTCCGGGTGTCGTGCTTCGAGCTGGATGTTAAGAGCTTAGCCGTCTGGGCCGGTCGCTGCCTTGTTCGTTCAATCAGTGACCTCGTACCCTCGCGATTTTCGCGTCGGAAAGCGCTGCTGTGGTCGTGAGCTAGATTGCATCATGCACCACGGGAAGGGAACTCTTAACCCTATCCGACCCTTCTCGTGTTCAAAATTGTAGGCAAGCGCTACAGCAGTGTAGGAAAGGTGGAAATAATACCGTAACTCCGTTGTTTCCTTCCTGTTCGGCGGGTGCGTCAAACACGTCCCGACATGTAGGTTTTGACTTATAGGCGTAGTCTAAGTAGTACGTACGTACGTCCGCATCTGATTGTGAAGCGCATTTTGGATGTACCTCGTACTGTAGTAGGGGGGGTGTTGCTCCAAGACTAATAAACAAAGAGACTGGCCTTATACGCCTGAAACCCTGAAATGTCTCTAGCAACGCTTCCCAGTCTGTGTCGGCATTCATTCATTCTGTAGGAAAATGCACGTGTCATTGACCTAGCCGAGTCAGTTTCCGAGTCTCATTGGGAAGGGCTACGTACCCTTTACTCACATGTGCATAGTGCATAGTAGGTGATCCTTTTTACTTTCATAGTTTTTGTTGAAGAGAAGTGGCCCGATAGGGACGGTTTTTGTTAAAAAAAAAAGAAGCTTTTTAGAGGGAGCAAAACGGGTCCGTCTGTCTGTCTCTGTCTGTCTGCTGTCTGTCTGTGACCAGCCTCGATATATTACCCAGCAGACTCGAGCCCATTTCACCATCTCGGCACCAAATTGCAATCTAAGACGTGTTCACAACAAGTAATATTTGGCCCGAGCTACCCTAACTGCTACCTTTTCAATCCGTGCTCGGTGCGTCGAGATAGTGTAGCGTCGGTACCCAACTTGAAGCAGGGAACTGGCCCCTTGCAACACCGAGAGGAGGCGTCGTTTGATTTTGATCCATGACAGATAGCCTCGCACACCACACACCACACACACAGAGCCAGACATGGGCAGGGAGAGGGAGACACAGACCACAGCGAGGGCGAGGCGGCGGGAGAAGGGTGTGCCATACACTGCTGCTGTTAGCTATCGGCGGAGGAAGCGAGAGGAGAGATCAACATTTGGTTTGGTTGCAGCAGAAGCAGCAGCAGCAGCAGCGGCCTCTCTCTCTCTTTCCGCGGAGAGGGGCACATGACACCAACAACACACAGACGCTGCTACGCACCACCATTGGTGCGACATGTACTGCTGTACACCCCTCTACACTTTAGTGCGCGAAGGCCTAGTGTGAGACCAGTGCCTCCCGTGCTAGCCTGGTTACGCATCGCACGCTTGAACGCTCTTGAGATTTCTCGATCAAAGCTCGAACCAACAAGCGAAGCACAACAGCAGATCCATTTTTTTTTTAGCTGCTAGCCCTATTTTTCAATATATGTACCACACCCCTCCTACCCCCCGGATTACACCTCGCTCCTCCCCCCCGGGTGCGAGTCCGTGTGTGGAGGTGTCTTGTTTTTCCAAGACATTTTGTTTTTTCGGAGTCCATCACATTCTCAGGCAGGGACCGCAGGACGGGGTCCAACCCCCCCCTCCTATGTGACCCCGGTTGGGTCGTCTAGCTGGTAGAAGTGGAGAATAGGGGCCAGAAGGGCAGACGACACAGAGTCCAATGATGGGAGAAAAACAAACACCAATACATTGATAGGCGCCCCCGACACCTCAACCAAAATATTTTGCTACACGGGCCAATGGTAGCAACGCACGAGCCTACTGCAGGTGCGTTTTTCAACAAAAAACTATTCCGCCGCCCGATCTAGTACTTCTCGTGCACAGGTGTTGCATACCTCATACTTGTATCTGTCTTGTTTCCTGTCTGTCTTCCGTGTCTTCCTTCTCACCGGGTGGGTGGGCAGAGACAGACAGCCACCGCCGTACAAGTACGTATGGAGTAGAGGCGGGTATTAAAGGCCACTTAAGCCACCCCCTGTGCTACGAGCTCGTTCTTGAGCAGGAAATCGAATTTCGATGATATTGTGGTGTCGAGCGATAGGTACGATCACCCCCCGCCTAGCTAAAAAAAAAGAAAAAAAATCGTCAACAGTGACGAGGTAGGGCTGGAGCCGTAGACCTGAGCTGCAGGCGCCATTTTGAGAGAAGAAAATTACCCCTGGGGGTATTACAGGCCACTTCCATCATTGGTTGATTTCGAACGTTTGCAAGCGTTTCAAGACCCAAGATTTGGTGGGCATGCGTAAGATACAAAAGGAATGAAGAAAAAGTTCGAAAAAACGAAAAATGATCTACATCCTGGGATCAAAATAACGTATCCCCGGGTTTTCGACACCATGGGTGGTAGGGGGGCGTACTCTTATGTTTTGCATGTCTTAGCGGTTAGACCATTGACCACGCGTCCTCGAGAGGACGGAGTATTGTTCCCACAGGACCGATCACCGATGGCCAATCGTTCCTTTCTACTTTGCCAAAGGTGGCTCAAAAATGTCTTCCCTAGTCTGTCTATTCTAACGATATCCCTTCCCGCCTTTTCAACCCACCTCCTATGCCCCAGTACAGCTACCGTC